CCCAGCATTGAGGGAGGCTGAGGCAGGAGGCTCACAAATTGGAGTCTTACCTGAGCAACTTAACAAAACCTGCCTCAAAATGAAAAATAATAAGGACTATGGATGTAGTTCTGTAGCAGATCATAACTGGGTTTAATCCCCAGTCTGAAAAAAAACAAAAGATCAGTTGGTCAAGAGAAATTATCAAACATATAATCTGTCAATAGAAAATGAAATAGCATGGTATGGCGGCACACACTTGTAATCCCAACACTAGTGAAGCTGAGTCAGGAGAATCACTGCAAGTTCAAGGTCAGCCTGGGACCACATGAAGAAGGGACGGAGAACAATGTCCAGCAGAGGCCCAGGCCCTTATCAAGGTGTCCAGACAGGGAAGCCCCACTTGTTAGGGAACCCAGGTGGAAAATAGGACACAGACAATCACGGAAAGGAAGACAATTCAGATTTAGTCTGAGTTTTTGGCCCCTCATGGCTTAGCAAAACCTGGTCCAGATCCACGAGGATCAAATGCCACACAGATCAGTTCTGAGGTTGCTTCTCCCCTGCACCAGGGTTTTTCCAACAGGAAATGGAGAAATTACACCATGCAGGCTGCTGGCCAGCCTGGAAACCCTTTTTCTTAAGTATTGTTGCCCTCATCATGTGCTCAGTACCAAGGGCCCTAACCTGACCTTCATGATGTGCAGCATCTGCCAGCTCCTCCCCCACAACAGTTGTCCTTTGCCTGGGCTGCTGGCCAACACTGGATGCCCTGTCCAGTCCTCTGCCTGACCCAGACCCCATCCTTTAAAGATTCCAGCTTCTGCTCTGCTGTCTCCAGCCCTGCTACTCTGGTCAGCCTTCACTAGCCCCACCCACGGCTTTCTTCCTTGGCAAGATGACAACCATGCCATGGAAAGAGATGGGCTATAAAGTGAACAGGGAGCAGGGCTCTATTGCCACAACAGCTACAATTATCTATCATTCCATGCACATAAGCCTCTAGGATCTGTGTGTGTTAACATTTCCGCTGAAAGAAGCTGGGTGTGGTGGCGCACACCTGTAATTCCAGCACTCAGGAGGCTGAAGCAGGAGGATCATTGCAATTTTGAGACCATCCTGGGCTACAAAGTGAGCTCAACGCCAGCCTGAACTGCATAGTGAGACCCTGTCTGAAAAAGACAAAAAAAAAAATCTCTACCAAAACAAAATTCAATACTAAATGCTAAAATAAAACAGTGGCCTGTATGTAATTCCAGCACTCGGGAGGCTGAAGCAGGAGGATCAATACAAGTTCAAGGCCAGTCTAGGGTACATAGTGAGTTCAAGGTCAACCTGAGCTACATAGCAAGACCCTGTCTCAGAAAGCCAATAAAAATAAAATAAAATAGTCTCCCATAAACATTGTTCTTTTTGAGACTTAGTCTCACTAAGTCACTAAATTGGGCTGAACTTGTGACATGTGTTCTTCCCGTCCTGTCTCCCATAATGCTAGACAGAGGGTCTCAGGGGTTGTCCAAGGCAGGCGGGGGGCGGGGGGAGGGACTGCAATTCAAATGTGATTGGACACTGGCCAGGCCCATGTACTTATAGTTTTGCACATGCGGGAGGGGTCTTGCAGGGCGACCTTTAACTACTACTGGGCTTCTGATATTTTGACAGTAGTCCTTCCCTACCTAGCCCTGTCTCTACTCTTTGCCCCAGGGCTTTCTCTTATTTACTTGTCCTTGCCTACCTCCTACTTCACTGTGATTACAAGTGTAACCCCCACTCCGGGTTTAAATTACATATTATTTTCACAGCCTATAGATTTTTTTTCGGTCAGTCAAAACATATAGATCTATGCTGGACATGGTGACACACACCTGTAATCCCAGCTCTCAGGAGGCTGAACTGCATATGGAGACCCTGTCCCCAAAAAACCAAACCAAACCAAAGCAAAAAACATACATACTTAGATTTAAAATAATATATATACATACAGAGAGATACCTCTATATACAGAGAGAGACAGAGAAAGACAGAGACAGTGCAAGAATGAGAATTCACTTCAAGTCAGAGTTTGGATTTAAGGGATTATTTGCCCGCTAGAGGGCAGGGCATATCGGGCAGCTAAACCCCATGAGGGCCTGACTAGTGCATGAGATCAAGAAGACTCCTGCATCCCGACCCCTACCTGACTCGCCTCCAGTGCTGTGGCACGCGGCGCCCAGGCAGAGGTATGTGCACGGCGAAGGGCGGGGCAGGAGCCCGTCAGGTGTCCAGGCTGCACGCAGAGGGCCTCCAGGCCGCAGGGGGCGCACTCCTAGTTGAGGATGGACGTGCCGGGGCGCCCCCTGGCGGTTACGATGCGCGGCGTGAAGGATCCCAGCGCGACGGTGGCAGTGGCGCGACTGCAGAACCGTCCGAGCCAAGCGGTGTCCTAGGTCACCGGAGTCCACAGTCAGGGACTCTGTCGTCGCCCAGTCCCTTGGCCTAAGATTTTTAGGTTCTTGTGACAGTCATCCCTGCCTGCCTCTGCCTCCCTGCTCAAAATGCAGCTCGCGGCCCTCAAGGGTCCCAATGTGCTCTGCCCGCGGCCTGTGCTGCATCTGCTTTTCCTGCTTGTACTCCTGCTGCTGCAGCCGGGAACCTACCCCCAGACCTCGCTGGACACCCGCAGCACCCAGACCTCGTCTGGCACCCCCAGTGCTCCCACCACTGCAGGCACGCCTAGTTCTTGGACCCCTCCGGGCACCCCCAGGTCCCCTGGCCTGCAAGGTCGTGCGAGGGACCTGATGCGGAACTTCCCATTAGTGGACGGGTACGTAGATGTGGATGGGGATGAGCTCACTCCTGGGTGGGGAAGGGTTTTGTTTTGTTTTGTTTTTGTTTGTTTGTTTTGACAGGGTCTTGTTATGTAGTTCAGGCTGGCCTTGAACTCACTATGTAGCCCAGGCTTGCTTTGAACTCACAGCAGTCCTCCTGCCTCGGCCTCCTGAGTTGAGATTACAGGTAGCCACCACGCCTGGCCTAGAGGAGGTTCTGAGCATGCAGAGCAGTGAGGAGACGTCCTCACAGCACCCTTGGATGCCTTCTTTCCTCAATCACCCTTGTGTGCCCTACTGCAGTCACTCCGTTGCTGGTGGACACCTCCCTCAAAACTCCTTTGTCTGTGACAACAGCCCTGGTGGAGCGGGGAGGGTAGGCATATGCGTGCTGCCTATCCTGCCCGATGTGGAGGCCGTGTCCCTACTCTGATCTTGTCTTGACACCCTCAGCCACAACGACCTGCCTCTGGTCCTGAAACAGCGTTTCCAGAACAGGCTGAAGGATGTGGATCTGCACAATTTCAGCCACAGCCAGACCAGCCTGGACAGGCTCAGCGATGGCCTCGTGGGTGCCCAGGTACAGAAACAGTGCCTACACGGATGCTGGGGAGTGTTGGGGCTACAGAAGCTGGCGAGGGCAGCCTCCACATGCCTGGGTACATGGGCCATGAAGTGTGCCATCATATAGGTGTGAGGAGCACGGGGGCCTCAGAGGTCAGGACAGGCGAGCTGCATGGGTGCCCAGGTTCAGTGGAGACAAGTAAGGAAATGACCAGAAAACAGTGGTGAGTGTGGGAGCTGCCGGAACCACAGGGGATGTGGTCAGTTGGCCTGGGGCGTTCCCAGGGCACGTAGACAAACAGCAGTTTATGATGTGTCTTGAGTCCACAATTTGGCCAGTGGCAGCAAGCTTTGTCTTTTTTTTTTTGAGACAGGATCTCGCTATGCAGTTCAGGCTGGCCTTGAGTTCACTTTGTAGCCCAGGCTGGTCTCAAACTCACAACAATCCTCCTGCCTCAGCCTCCCGAGTGCTGGGATTACAGGAGTGCACCACCACACAGCAGCAAGCTAAACAGACATCAAGGGACCATGGGATCATGCAGTACCTTGCTGTGGGGGCTGAGGCAGGACTGGAAGGTGTTGGGGGTTGGAGACCACCTGGGCCTCATTGTAGACCCCCTGAACCACCTCCAGTTCTGGTCGGCCTACGTCCCGTGCTATAGCCAGAACAGGGATGCCGTGCGCCTCACCCTGGAGCAGATTGACCTCATCCGCCGCATGTGTGCCTCCTACTCTGAGCTGGAGCTGGTGACCTCAGCTGAAGGTGTGCTGGCAGATGGGGCAGGGGTTAGTGTGAGCTCACTGTAGTGGTTCTAGCCCCGGATTCTGAAACTTGACTCTGCATCCTTTTCTAGGTCTCAGTAGCACCCGAAAGCTGGCCTGCCTCATTGGTGTGGAGGGTGGTCACTCACTGGACAGCAGCCTCTCTGTGCTGCGCAGTTTCTATCTGCTGGGAGTGCGCTACCTGGCACTCACCTTCACCTGTAGCACACCCTGGTGAGCACAGTCTCTGCCTGGGGAAGTGGAAGCAGCATGGCGGGGATGGGCCTGACCAGAGGTGGGGATAAAGCTGTCCACAGAGGGAGTGGGCTCCCAGCAGGTTCTCACACTCCCAGAAAGTAGCTGGGCCTTGATCCACACCTATTCTGGCAGGCACTGTGCCACTGAGCTATATCCCTGCCCTGGTCCTCACATGCAATGGATAGATTGACAAAGGCTCCTTAAGCTCTGATGACCAAGGTGTGGCCAACTAATTGTGCCTCTCTGGCTATCTTGCAGGGCAGAGAGTGCCACCAAATTCATATACGATCTCTACACCAACGTCAGCGGGTTGACAAGCTTTGGTGAGGTGAGGATTCCCATTCTATACCTTACCCCACTTGTTCCCTGTGATAATGCGCACATACCTGTGTATCCTGACACCTGCTTCCTCCCAAACATCAATTGTCCCTGCAGAAAGTGGTACAGGAAATGAACCGCCTGGGAATGATGATCGATTTGTCCTATGCCTCAGACAACTTGGCAAAGCAGACCCTGAAGCTGTCTCGGGCTCCTGTGATCTTCTCCCACTCGGCTGCCAGGGGAGTGTGCTACAGTTACCTGAATGTTCCTGATAAGATCCTACAGCTTCTGGTACGCAGCCACCCCAGCTGTCATACCCAAGGCTAAACCTACTTGATCTAAAGATTCCTGCACCTAAACACAGAAAGATGTTGCCCTAGGTCTCACACACCCTTGGACCCAAAGCTGGCTAATCCTTCTTCATCTCTGACACTAACGGCCAAATCAGTTTCACCCAAGGACCCACAAACCCAGAAAGAGAAAGTCTCTTCCAACCCCTGAAGCTGGACAGAATGTCATCCACAGCATGAGAGGGGCACCGTCAGGCCAGAGGGGCTGAGCTGAGTATCCATCGCTCTGTTCTTGCAGAAGAAGAATGGTGGCATTGTGATGGTGACCTTGTCCATGGGGGTGCTGCACTGCAACCTGTTTGCTAACGTGTCCACCGTGGCAGGTGAGCCCCACCTCAACTCTCTGCAGCTCTGGCTTGGGCTGTGGCTGCCAGGCCTTCAGGACAGCCCCAGCAGCCTAGTGCCTGTTGGGCAGTAGTGGCCTCGGCTCTCCACTGCCACCCAGGCCTCAGGCCACACTAGATACTGATGAGTTTGAGGCCTCTACCTCCGAGTTTCATTCTTGCTATCAGTCCAAAATAACCTACCACCTCCCATGGCTCTGGACAGAACAGGCAGAGCCCAGAGGCAGGAAAACGTTCAAAGGGGTGGCGCTGAGGTACACTTTAAGCCCAGAGCTGTAACCACTTCAGGACTTGTGTCTGCCCCTGAGCTCTGTGGCAGCTGCCATGGCCTGGAGTCCTGTGGGCAGGGAAATTGGCCAGAGCTGAGTTTCCTCAAGCCAGGGCCTAACTACAGGTCCCAGGGTCTAACTACAGCCTTGTACTTGCTACCCACAACCAATCTCCATCTTCTAGATCACTTTGACCACATCAAGGCAGTCATCGGATCTGAGTTCATTGGGATTGGTGGCAATTATGATGGGTCTGGCCGGTGAGTGCTCTCCCTGGACATTCTTGGCCTTGGGTAGAGTGGGGAGTCCTTTAGTCTTAGATCCCCACCCTGGGGCCCTCCCATCCTTCAGGCCTTGACCACAGGTTCTGGTGTCCCAGTCCACTTCACATTGCCCCACTCCCAGGGCCTGTTTCCGAGGCTCTCTCTATTCTTCAAGATAGGACCCTGTAGACCAAGGTGGTCACACTGGCTAAGCACTCCCCTCCCCCAGGGAGCCAAGCTTAGGCCCCAGCACCAGCCCATGAGATCATCTGCTGTGGGCCGACCATCTGCTCAGCTGCCAGTGCTGCAGAAGCCCCACCCTCAAGGCATTTCTAAAGTCCCATCCCCTAGCCTGACGCCCTTGGCCTTTGGTTTTAGTCCTGTGTGACTAGGGCTAGTAGGACAGCAGGCCCTAGACCAGGATCAAGGCCGAGCTCCCACAGCTAGCCAATGGGTGGCCACACAGGTTCCCTCAGGGGCTGGAGGATGTGTCCACATACCCCGTGCTGATAGAGGAGCTGCTGAGTCGGGGCTGGAGTGAGAAAGAGCTTCAAGGTGTCCTTCGAGGAAACCTGCTGCGGGTCTTCAGGCGAGTGGAGCAGGTATGCTGGCTGGGCAGCAGCGAAAGGATGGTTGGTTCAGTGGTTTGAGCAGCAGGGGAGGCTGCTGAGGGCGCATCTGAGTGCTGCCTCCCACCAACCCGCAGGTCAGCAAGGAGAGCCGTGGGCTGCGCCCCGTGGAAGCAGAGTTTCTAGACAGGCAGCAGAGCACGTCCTGCCACTCACACCTCCTGCCTCAGCCTCAGAATAATCACCAGAGGGTGACCCAGCCAGCCAACCAGGTCTCCCAGAGCCCCTTAAAAACCTCCCCACACGCTGTTCTAGGCCTCACAGCTACTGCTACCCTCCCGGTCCTCATCCTCTGGCTCTGGTAACCAGGTCAGTCCTGAAGAAACCACTGTAAGAGAGTTCCACAAAGTCCCCCTTCTAATGGCCCAGCGTATGGCAAGAATAAACATCTGAGACTTGGAGCCAAGTGTTAAGTGTCCTTCCTCCTCGGTGCGAGCAGGGCCAGGTGGGCTCTTTTTGGGGTGGGATCTTGTGGCCCAGCCCCAGCTGCTCAGGTCCCCGCTCACCGCCAGCACTGGCACTCAGGAAGGACAGAGGCAGCTCCTCAGATGCTCTTTTGCTGCTTTTTCTGCCCTCCCCCTCCGCCCCTCCCCCTCCCCTCTTTCCTCTTTCTCTCCTTCCTCCTTCTCCTCTTCCTCCCCTTCCCTCTCTTCCTCTATTCCTCTTCCTCTTCATCCTCCCCCTCCTTGTCTTTTCCTTCTCTTTCCTCTTCTTCTTCACCCAACCTGGGCTTTTACTTTTGATCCTCCTGCCTCAGCCTCCCAGAGTCCTGGGCCCACACTTTTCACCAGATTCTTACTCTGAAAGCCGAGCCCACAGGGGTCACAAGGGAATGGAGTTCAGTGTCGATCTCATCCAGGAGTGTCACTGTGGGCGGCTTCTGGTCTTCCTCTGAACGGTTAAATGTGAGATGGGGGCGCTGGTGCACACCTGTAATCCGAGGTAGTTGAGAAGCCAAGGCAGGAGTAGAGAAAGGTAGAGAGCTCAAGCTGGGCAACTTAGTGAGACCCTGGCTCAAAATAAACTTTTTTAAAGAGCTGTGGGTGTAGCTCAGTGGTAGGGTGCTGGCCTAGTGTTCAAGATGCCCTGAGTTCAATCCCCAGAACAGGAAAAATAAAAAAAGGTCAGGAGCTGGGGCTCTAGCTTAGTTGTGACGCACTTGCCTAACAGACCATGCTGACTGGATCCCCGGCACTGCCAACAAAAAAAAGGTGAATTTTGTTTAAGAAGCCAATAGTATTTATACAGTAAGCAGGAAGTTATTTGGAATTACTAGGAGAAATTATTTGTAAGAGTTTTAGCTTTTACACATAAGGGCCTCTGAAATTACTTATTGGGGGCAGATGCTGGAGACTGAACCTCACGCATGACAAGCACACACTATCACTGAGCCACCCCCCCAACACAATGAAAGTCAATTTAAAAAAAAAAAATTGGGGTTGATACAATAAATAAATAGTTCAAATAATTGTAACAAGCGATAATGCACAAGGTCCTGGGTTCAACCCTAGCACCAATAAATAAAAATAAATTTGTTAAACTGACTTTTAAATGGGGGATCACTATGTCTTAAAAAGAAAAAAAGAACTTGTAAGGAAAAGGAGGACTCTCACAAATGGCCACCCGACAAGGAATGAAGTGCTCTGTCACTGTCCCTAAACTCTGGGACGCTGCACGTTTCTGCACTTGCTGAGATGGGAGCCTAGGGGCGCACGCGCAGTAGCAAACGCGCCCCCTCCCTCGCTACTGCGGCAGTGCGCACCCCAGACCCGTCTTTGATGTTTTACCTGGCTGATGCTTTGCTGTCTGGTTTCTGTGTTCCTGTCTCTAAAATGCCTGGACACAAGATCTAGTCATCTGGGGACCCACCGCAGGTGATGGGCGCTTCTCTTCCAGAGATCTGATCCGCCATAACCAACCCTGGGTTAATTCGCTCTTGATCTGGAGATGGCCTTTCTGCATTCTGTGTGTGCAGGGCACTAGGGATACAGAGACCAATAAAGACATCGCCCTCCCTCAAGGACCTCAGAATCTAGCGAGGGAAGCGGACACCGACATAATTACAATCCCGAGTGATAAATGCTCTAGTGGAGATAACTATGAAGATGGTGCCAAAAAATGCTTTCTCCTTTAGATAAAGATTAGGCTCCCAAAACCGTTTATAATTGCCTTTAAGTTAGAGACTAACTTTTCCATCATAGTTACTCGTGCTCAGAATGCTTTGGAACTTTATCAGCATCAAGTGGTGGTGGATAATATCCCTGAGTCGCTGCAGTCTTCTGTAGTTGTTATAACCAAAGACTCAGAAACCAAGTTATTGCTATCAGAGGAATAAGTAGAAAAAGGCATGGCGAGCTGGGCATGGTGCACACACGCCTATAATCCTAGCCCTCAGGAGGCTGAGGCAGGAAGATCGCCTTGAATTTGAGGCCAGCCTGAACTACATAGCGAGACCCTGTCTCGAGAAGAGAGGAGGGGGGAGAGAACCACACACAGCTTTTATATGTGACAAAAACTGAACTGAAAAGGTCTTATAGGATTAAAAATTGTTCAGTGGACCAGGGCTTTCACAGAGTGCAAGAACTGAAATAAATTCTTTGGTTTCATAAGCACAAAGGGAAAAGTAAAATTCATGGTGTGCAGGCAAATGTGAGTTGGTATTTGTCTTTTAATGACTGAACCACTCAATAAAATCATCTGAATGTGATCTGGATTTGAAAATTGAACACTAGAACTATAAGTCACCTTTAAAAGAAGTCTATTGGGCCAGACATGGTGTCCCACGCTCGTGGTCCCAGCACTCAGGAGGCTGAGGCAGAGGACTGCCATAAGTTCAAGGCCAACCTGGGCTACATAGTGAGTTCAAGGTCAGCCTGAACTACACAGTAAGACCCTGTCTCAAATAAATAAATAAATAAATAAATAAATAAATAAATAAATAAATAAAGTCTACTGGGAATTATATATTCCACAAAATATAACAGGGGGTGCTAAATGCTGAATATCAGCCTACTTTATACTATAGAAAGAGGATTCTGGATGCATAAGTGGTCTTGCTTTGAAGATGAAGTATTTGGTGAGTACCTACTTGAGAATTAGAAAGATGAAGAAATATGTCTTGATTGGGAAATGGATGTATAGAAGTTTAAGTATAATAAAGTGTGTGCCCACAAACTGGAAAAAAAAAAAAAAGGAAACTATTACTGTCAGCTTGGTTCACACACATGCCTTTCCTTTGGCCATTTTCTCCTGAGTGGGCCAGAACCAGGTCTTCACGCCTTCTATGGGATCTTAAAGTTGAGAGAAAGCACATTGTGGTGGCACATAGGCCTATAATCCCAGCACACTGGGAGGCTGAGGCAGGAGGATCACGAATTCAAGTCCAACCTGGGCAATTTAGCAATTTAATGAGAACTCATCCCAAAATAAAAAATTTTAAAAAGACTTGGGGATGTAGCTCAGTGTAAAAGCCTTGGGTTCAATCTCCAGTAATCCAAATAAAAAGAGGGAGAGAGAGAAAGAGGGAGACTATAGTGCTACCCATCTTACAAATTAAGGATTCATATTTTTTCTTGTATTGTTAGGGATTGAACCCAAGCTTTTGCATATTATATTCTAATTCTGTTACACATATTTTTACTATTTATTTATTGTATTAATACCAGAATGTCTTATTATGGCAACTTTAACATAAGTTTTGATATCTGGTAGAGCACACCTTCCTGCCATGTTCTTCTTCAAGAGTACTATAAACTACTCTGGAGCCAGGCATGCAGGCACACGTCTGTAATCCCAACATGCAGGAGGCTGAGGCAGGAGGATCGCCACAAGTTTGAGGTCAGCCTGGACTACATAGTGAGTTCAAGGCCAATCGGAACTATATAGCAACACTCTGTCTCAAAAAATAAATAAATAAATAAACAAACCACTCTGGGAGGTTGAGGCAGGATCCCAAGTTCAAAACCAGCCTGGGCAATTTAGTGATTAAACCCTAATTTTTAAAAAAATGCTTGGGTTAGGGATGTAGATCAGTGTGAGACCCTAGGTTCAATCCCCAGTATTGCAAAATAAATAGATTGATTGTAATTAATTAATTAAAGTGAACAGTTCAGTGGCCTTTAGTGTACTCACGTGTTGTACAGCCTTCACTCTTTTCTAGTTTCAAAACATTTTGATCCCCCTAAAAGGAACCCTAAACCCATTAATCATTAATTGGTTAATCCCCATTTTTCCTGAGCCCCCTGACTCCCACCAATCACCGATCTGTCTTCTGTCTCTGTGGATTCACCCATTCTAGATATTTCTTATGAATGCAAGCTTACAGTATGCCATTTTTATGTCTAGTTTCTTTCATGTAGCAGAATAGTTTTGAAGTTCATCATATTTTATCTCACTTTCTGGGATTCTTATTAGTCAGATTTAGAATCTCTACCTTTATCCCCTGTATCTTCTGTTTTGTTTTGTTGTTTTGTTTTTTTTTTTTTCTTTTTTCTTTTTTCTTTCTTTCCTTTTGGCACTAGCAATTGAACATAGGGCCTTTACACTGAGCTACATCCTCAGCATTTCTTGTTTTTGGGACATTGTCATGCTAAATCACTAAGTTGCCCAGGCTGGGCTCAAACTTGTGATCCTCCTGCCTCAGCTTCCTAGAGTGCTGGGGTTACAGGCATGGACCACCACAAATGGCTTTTATTTCCTCCAGTACTGAGGACTGAGCCCAGGGTATTTGTATTGAGCTACATCCCCAGATCTTTTTTTTTTTTTTTTTTTTTTTTTTGAGACAAAGTCTTGCTAAATTGTCCAAATGAGACTGAAATTACAATCCTCCTGCTTCCACCTTTTCAAGTACTGGGACACAGGCATGCACCACTATGCCTGAGTTCTGCTTTCTTTTTCTGTTTTTCCTTCTTAGGAAAATGCCTTAATTGGGGCTTTCCAATTTACAAATTCATCCTGTCTAGTATGTCTTTATCTTAAATACATGGTCCTGTATTTCTTTGATACTTTATCCAGAGATGGGGTCTCTGCCTCTCCACTCCATACATTTTCTTCCTTTCTTCCTTTCTTTCTTCCTTCCTTTTGTTTTGTGTTGGGGATTGAACACACTATACCACTGAGCTACACCCTCAACCCATCTCTTCTTTGTTTTCTGTTTGTTTGTTTTTGTTTTTGTTTTTTGAGGCAGAGTCTCACTATGCAGTTCAGGTTGGCCGTGAACCCACTGCAGAGCCCAGGCTGGCTTTGAACTCACAGAGATCCTTCTGCCTCAGCCTCTCAAGTGCTGGGATTACAGGCATGCACCACCATGCCTGATAACCCACCCCTTTTTGAACTGGGGCTCTGTAACCACTTGAACAAACAATATGACAGAAATAACACTGTGCTGGTTTCCAAGCCTAAGCCCTA